ACATGTGAATTGTATTTAAGTGAGGCAGAACTGCACAAAGTGATCAGCCTCACTGTCTCCCTCCCAGAGTCATCAAAGTCCAGTGGCAAGACACAAGCCAAGATGACTGTCAATGGCCTGGGAGGCAGTGAATGATCTTGGCATCTTTGATGTCTGACCAAAAGTGCTCCACAGGGCCTGCTTCAGCCGTCTTCGTGGCCATCAGAATGAACTGTTGTATTTGCCCATTCTGTATCTGCCCATTCTAGCAGAGGAAGTCTTCACGTGCTTGGGGTAGACATCCCCCTAATTCACTGACAGGTTTTAGGCCTGTAGGTTACCCTCAGCCTGGTTTATCCTGTCTGCCATGATGGTTTTACTGGTGTGTGGCTGCTGTGCATGCCACAGTTTTTTGGAGCCACAGGTGAAGGTAGACACCAAAGGTGGATGAGCAGCCCTGAAGAGGATTCAGCAGCCCTCACACGAGAGGTGCTCGTCCTCCTTGAACACCCCATACACTTCACCTGTCAGACTAGTGTAAAGATGAAGACATTTTTAATATATATCATTCAGGAAACCCTAGCTGGGAAGGTTTTGTTAGGATTCCAACTCCTTGATACAGAAATCCTTATAGTGACTTTTTTTGGAAACAGATCATCACAAAGGCTGTAGCCAAGCAAACCTGGGGCCACCTGTGTGGTCACATTTTAAATCATCTCAGACATAAGAATGAGCTTTTGCTTCTGCCACAAAGGGACCTGAGGGACATCTGCTCCATGTTTACATAGCTAAACTATATTTTTCCTTTGTGTTCCATAGACCTTCACTGTTGGCTTTAAGGGCGTTCTACTATATATCTATTCAGAGAAATGTCTGGCTACGTAGGTAAGTTTTACCCTAAGGGTACAGTAAGATAAAGGATTTTCCCTGGGGATTAACCAGCTGGCAAATTTCCTGACAAAAAGAAGAGTCCTTGTGAAACATCTGTAGGTACTTAGTTACTCCAGGATCAAATTATCCTCCAAACAAAAGAGCTTTCCATATCAAAACTGTAGAGTAGTAGGAAATCGGGAGAGTTATCAGGCTTTAGCAATAATAATACTAAATACCATCACAATGAAACTGTTGTATTCCAGCAGCCCTATAAATAGTGCAAGTGTTATTTCCATTTTACAAATACAGAAACTGAGTCTCAGAGATTAAATAACTTACCCGTAGTCACACAGCTAATCAGTACTAAAGACCAGACTCTACACCAGGTATCCTGACGACAAGTCACCACTTTGCCTCTTAATATTTCCAAACTCCTGGCTCCCACCTTCACCAGGAACCTTCTCCAGATATTCTCTATGGCCTGTTCCCCTGGCCTGATGCCTTTGTGATATTTATCAGATAACAGAAAACATGGCCCCTACTCGGGCAGTGCACACCAGTCTATTGATTAAATCTTTAGAAACTAGCTAGGGTCAGAAGTTAAGTTGATGATCGTCCAAAGAGAAGTAAAGAGGAATGTGGTAGGTCACACATTACAAACAGTTATGCAGCAGTTTTAGTATAAAGGATGTCATCAGAGAAATATATGACCAAAAACAGGTGGGCCAGTCTCATAGCCACAGTGAGCAGCTGCCCATGGACTGCACACATGCTCCCTCCGTATCCATGGAATGACAGAAGAATGTGAGGAAGGCCCCAGCACACTGGGCAAATCCCACAGTGGCAGAATCATGTAAAAGAATATGGACAAGAGTCATACAGGATAGGTAGGTGTAAATGAGCAACTCAGGTCGGAAGGATTGGGTCTTGACACATCCACAGGTCTTTTGCATTTGATCTGCTTGAGCTGAGCTTCTGCTCCTTGAGCTCAGGTTTCCAGTGACAAAATTCCTTTCAACTTCTTTCCGTTCCTATCATGACAATCTTGGTCCACTAATTACCCTGGAGGGGAAAAGACCAAAAGGCACCGGGTGGAGCAGGTAATCTTTATCTTCTTGTTCTGCCTCCAATATAGCTGACAGCCATCTCCACACCATCATTATCACTTATTTGCCTAGATAATTCAATTGATTTAAAACTATACTTCTCCTGTGGCTAGACTAGGCTTAATTTATACTCTGGATTAAGAGTTTGGTAAAGAGCCCTGATTATAACCTGAAGGTTTCTCAGGGCTGTGTAGAATATCAGATGTACTACTTATTAAGTCAGTTAACTATAGTTATCTTTTCATGGACCTTTATTTGATCCTGTAATTTTTTATTATTAAAATTTGGGCTCTTTCAAACTACAACTGTGTGACCTGCATATAACTTAAGCTGCCACTCTTATCATGGTGGGATACACAGGAAATGAGTTTGGAGCCCAAAGGCTGCTCTTTTTCTTTTTTTTTTTTCCTTAAAGGGAAGCTTTGTTCTGACCATCAACTGTTCAAAACAATTATAAACATCCCAGTTCCAAATGTTGTGGATATTTGAGGAAGATTTAGTAATACAGTTTTGTCAAAAGTTTAAGAGTACTTAGAAGGGCTTCATGCTAGAAGTCAGAATTTTTCTAGTAATTTTTTCTTTCAAGAGTTTTATTGAAGCTTTAACAAAATAATAATCATGTCCCAATACTACTCCACACAAAACCCTGCTTTGTGATTAAATACAGTTAACAATGATAGCTAACATAAAGTGCTTTACACATAGCATCTTATTTGATCCTAACAACAATCCTGTGATGTAGAAGATGTTGGTGTCTGTTTTACAAATGAGGAAACTGAGGCTGAAGGTTAAATAACTTACCCAGGGTTACACAGCTATCAAGTGTCCAAGACAGATTTTGAACTCGTGTCTTTCTGGCTCCAATTTTTACAATTTGCCATGTACATTAACCACATCTGACTGCATGTGCTTTGTTGCCCACCCATGGTTCCCTTCTGTAAAATGAGATTTTTCATCATCAGCCCTTTAGAGTCAAGATCAGTCATTGCTCTGAGTTCTAATGCCTTTTTAATGGCGCTCTTCAGTTTTGGAGATCATTATAAATGTTGCTTTCACCTTAAAGATTCTTCCAAAGTCTTCCCAAATTTTTCCCAGCCATTTCCTAATGTATGGGAGCCCAATTGGCTTCTAGTTGTTTTGCTAACAAAAAGTGCCTCTAGGAATTATAGACAGGTTTCTACTACTGGCCTCCTTTGGGTTTATTCCCAGTAGAGGAATCTCTGGATCAAACAGGTTAAGATCTTTGAAGCCGGAGTGTTTTTAATTTTGTTTCTGGTGTTCCAGTGCCTGAGAAGCAGTTCTGTGGAAAGGCAGTCAGCTTCAAGTCAGGAAGATCTGGGTCCAAATTTTACATAGGCGAGTTACTGATCCCAGTGTCCTGGATCAGATGTATCAAATACAAACAGAAACAGAGTCACTAAATTCTGTTAAGTGTAGCCTCCTTCTTTTAGAATGTAAGCTCCTGGAGAGGTTTACTTTTGTATTTTTATCCCTTGACTTCACACTTTGTGCTTAGTATTTTTCATTCATTCATTCATTGAACTCACCTCAACTCCCTCAATCCATGTGGAACAGCTACTGTGCAACAGTTTATCTTAGAAAATAGGTAGTTCTTTTAAGACTATACATTTGTGAAAAAGTATAGACCAGTACTAGTAGAGGAAGTTTCTTTATATGAAAGTTCCCTATACCAATGAAATCACAGGTGCCAGTCCCTATTGCAAAATTTCCCCAAGAAGGAGAATTTAGCTTTGCATTGTCTTCTTAAATTTACTTTGACAGATGGCCTGTTAAGATAGAAAGGGGAACCTCTGACCCCGGAAGACCAGCATCTAACCAAGTAACACTTCTGGACACATGCTGGCTTTATGAGCTTGTCCACCCTGAGTTAGCCATTTCACCTCTAGGCAGCCCCTCTGAGCAGCAGGGAACGTGCAGCCCTCCACCCAGTCTTCCTTTATGGGGAGCTTCTTATGTCAACGACAGGTGCAGCCCCTGTCCTCTTGTATTTAGTGATCTGGGGAGGAATCCTTGTTTAAATAACAAAAGTAACTATTCCAATAGAATTGGTTTCCTCTCTGATCTTATGTATTTAGTGCATGTAAAGTCATTATTCTGAAAAGGGGTCCCAGACCCAAAAAAGGTTAACAACCTCAGCCCTAGTAAAATGCCTCTCCCTCCCCTCTCTGCAATCTCAGACCCCTCCTACCCGAGCTCTCACCTTATCTGGTGGGGGGCTGGACCTGCCAGACAGCATACACCCCTTCCCCTTAATCTGTGATCCAAACTGGCCTCAGACACTGACTAGCTGCGTGACCCCGGGCAAATCACTTCCCTTCTGCGCCTCAGTTTCCTCATCTGTAAAGTGTGGGGGTTGGCCTCTTGACAGCCTCTTAGGTTCCTTCCAGCTTTAGGTTTGTGTTCTCAAGCCGAATGGCGTTCAATAAACTGTGACGGACTGATTAATGAAGGGCTTTAAAGCCCTAGCCAGCCCGAGATCAGTGACGACCCCACGATCTCACCTCACTTAACCTTTCTCTGCCTCAGTTCCCTCGTCTGTCAAAGGGGGACCCTGAGCTCCCTGCCAGCTCTAGGTCTGGGATGTCGTCCGCCCTCTCTGCAGTGACCCTAAGCACCTAGGTCCCTTGAACTCCGTGCCTCGGTTTCTTCATCTGTAGAAGAGGCCACGGAGTGTTGTACATCAGTGACCCCACGGTCACTCTGGCACACAGCAGGCGCCTAACGGATGCGGTTGCCCCTTCTGGCGGCGGTGCTGGGCCGGCCTAGGCCCCGGGGGCTCGGGCCGGAGGCCGGCCAGGGCCCGAGACGGCGGCTCCCGCCTGCGCGCCTTTCAAACTGCGTGTCTCGAGGTCCGGGCATCGCCGCTAATGGAACCCGCGCGACGCCGCGGGCCAATGGGCGCCGCGCTTCCTGCCGCCGCCGGCCAATGGCGAGGCGCGTTCTTGGGGCGTGGGCGGCGCGGGCGTCTCTCCGCGCTCGCCCGGAGAGAGTCTGTGTGTGTGAGTGAGAGAGAGCGGAGCTGCTGGGGCAGGGCGCGCGCGGCCGGGCTTCCTGCAGCCTCTCGCTCCTGCTCCGTCCACTCGAGCGCCAGGCGCCGCGGCTCGCACCCATCTCGTGAGGCCCCGGGAGGCGCCGGACGCGGCCACCGAGGAGATGCCCGAGTTCCTGGAGGACCCGTCGGTGCTGACGAAAGACCGGCTCAAGACCGAGCTGCTCGCCAACAATGTGACGCTGCCGGCGGGCGAGCAGCGCAAGGACGTCTACGTGCAGCTCTACCTGCAGCACCTCACGGCGCGCAACCGGCCCGCGGCGCCGCCCGCGCAGCCCCCGCCGCCGGCCCCGGCCACCAACAGCCGCGCGCCCCCGGACTTTTCCAGCGACGACGAGCGCGAGCCCACGCCGGTGCTGAGCGCCGCGGGCCGCGGGCGAGGAGGAGGAGGCGCCGCCGCCGGAAGGGTACGGACCCCCCCCCC